CTCTCTCTCTCTCTCTCTCTCTCTCTCGTTTTTAACAACTACAATTAGTAGATACCTCTTCCGTATACAAGGTGTCTCACCTGACAGTACAATCTTGATTTACGACATTGACCGTAGCGAGAAACGTTCAATGAACGTATTGTATAAATGTGAGGATCAATTTTATTTTTCTTTAAATAGGAATCGTACGTTGTTTAATGTTTTAGTCGATGTAGCTTGACATTCTTCCTATAAAAAAAAAAAAAAAAAGAAAAAAAAAAGAAAAAAGCATTATCCCATTAAAATTATTAGTTTAATCTTAAGTTTGCATGACGTATTGCACGAAAGACAAGGATAACATAGGCATTTGAATACTGCTCTGCATATTTCCATGTTTTTCATACAGTGAGTTTTACAAAATTAAAACTAACGACATAAGTAGATTATTACTCGTTTACACGAGGTGCCTAGATAAATCGACCAACACATTAGAAGTTGATTCCATTTAAATTGACGATGAGATTGCAGATCCCAGAGACGAACGCGAGCAAAAAAATTAATTAACAGCTCAGAGTAACAACTCCGTCGAGAATATTCATCTTTTATCTATTACACTTCTTACCTCTGCGAATAATAATAATGACGCAAATTAACATAGTAAAATCAAGTGAGACGGCCTGTGTACAAGTTCGTTTCCTCTCTTCTTTCGTAGAAAACAAAAGAGACGGACGACTTCAAACATCGTCGCGCGCCTTTCTCTCGGTTCTTCCGTTCTTTCCTTCGTTTCCTCTGTCTGCCTCTTATCGACATCGAGTCTCATCGGAAAGAGACACAATGGCACAACACGGCGCACCGGTTGTCGTTGCTCCGAGTCGTAATCGCTCGCCTTCGTAGAACCGTCGTCTGCTGCCGTTTCCTCTTCGTTTCTCTTGGCTTGAAATTCGACGACAAAAGGAGAAAAAAAGAAAAAAAGAAAACAAGAGAACAGAGATCACTCCCCGACGAGGTCCTCCTACGCGAGAAGAACACCATTTTTCTTCCTCGAAACAGCCACAAAGAGACGGATCTTCGCGT